TGCTCGCTGCTTTACTTTTAATAGCGCAGGTTGCCATGCCGACTACTGCTGCTGTTTAAAATGAAGAGGAAAAAAGAAGTGTTCCTTCCTACACAAACCTTTCAGCGGGGCTCACAATCAGTCTTTAAAAACACAAAAACTCACAGCACTGGAGTTATGGTAAACATTGCGCTTCTATTTAAACCTGTCAAAATGAGGATGTGATAAACCTTTGGTCTGTGTCTCCTTGGTACAATGCTCTTTGGCCAGCATCTAGTTGAAGAGTCCACAAGGAAAGAAAGGCACGATGATGTGGTGTACACAAAGGCAGCTGGTGTTGAGACGGGAAAGCGGCCCTCCATCTTGAAGAAGCACAAAAGAAAGGCTGGCTTCCTTGGGAAAGAGAGGCCTGCTCCCCCTTGTCCCTATGAGCAGTTATTAAAAGGCTGGGTCCGTACAATGCAGCACAGCACATCCACTGCACAAGGGTGCCATGGACAGGAGAGAGGAGCACGTGCTGGCAGTGGCAGAAGAGGCACCCCCACCCTCTGTGCTGCCTGTGGGCCCAGGTAAGCCAAGGAGAGGAACCAAGAGGCAGAAGGACATGCTGTGCCCTGATGTGTAAGTGTTAATGCTGGTTGGTGACAAGAGGAGGAAGGAAACCACAAGGACAGGGTGAGAAGGAGGTAAGACCTCTTCTCTCTCTCACAATTGACTGGGTTTTATGAATTCTGTCCACAGAAGCTTCCACCCACGTAAAAGAAGATCTAGCGGTGTTTCTGAGGCAAAGAGGACTTGCTCACAGATGAGCCACAGGGTGATACATCTGGATCGCATCGGTAAAGGGCACACATAAAGTCTGCCAACAGATTGTGGTGCTGACAACCAGGTCCCACACTTTCTTTCCAACTCCTCTCCTACCACTTCCCCATGAGGGCAAGCCCTGGGTTCCCGTTCCCTCTGGTCCAATGCCCGCAGCTCCGCGAGCTTAAGGATGAAGACGGTCTCTGTCTTCCTAGACTACTTAATCCCTTTCAGGCTGTGAAGAGCCAATTCATATATCCGCTATTCGTAATCTCCTACTGGCACTCCCCACCAACAGACTGCAGCAATTGGCCTGTTCCATTCACCTGCCAATTAACATGCCTTGCACTGTGATGTATTCTCTAATTTGATTCTCTTTTTGTTTGTTTCTATGTGGTCTCCCTAACTAGAATGGAAATTTCTTGAAGGCAAAAGATCTTTTTGTATCCTTTGTTGCCTCCCCATGCCCAGTAACTCCTGTGTATACAGTGGTAGTGACTGCAGCCGCAGCAGCGTACAGCTGCCACTTAATGAGCTCTAAGTGCTGGGCTCTGTTCCGAGTACTTTATACAGATTAACAAATATGCATCTCCCAACTGTCTGAGATGTACATATACACAATTATTACCCCTATTTAACGGGAAAAGAAACTGACGCATAGGAGGTTAATGACTTGCTGAGGCTCACACAACTGGCAAGCAGCAGACTCAGAACTCAAACCAAAGCCCAGAACTCTAGAGCCTGTTACACACTATGCAGATGACCTGGGTTTGGGTTGAGGAGACAGAGATGGGTGAAGCGCCAACGGAGGAGAGACGAGAGATAGGGGATATCCACAACAGAACGTGCAGGATACTGTCCCATCCAATAAAACCTGCATAATGCACACACATTTATTCACAAAGACAGATGTAAGGCCTGTCTCTGAAATGTCAATGAGTAGTCAACTACCTCAGGAGAGCTGGATTCCAAGGCACTTTTCTTTCCTGTTCTGTTTTACATGTATTGTTTGATTCTCCAAGGAGCATGCAGGACTACTGCATATGGTGGAAAGATAAAGAATGAAGTCAATTTCATTATGGGTAGAAAGGAAAACAAAGCAAAAAGAGAAAAAAGGAGTGAGGGTCTGCCAAATGTTGCTGAACAGAAGGGTGGCATGTCCATTCCTGTGTCTCAGAAAGATCGCCCTGCTGACCGTGCAGGAAATGAAGACAGGGAAATAGAAAATATCTCTACGAGAAATGATGATAACGATAATCGCTAACATTTATGGAGTTCAAAGAAAGGTAATACAGGAAATTTAAAATCCAGTTACCCTCAGAGCAATGCTGATCATAGTAGCCAAAAGGTGGAAACAACACACATTACCATCAACTAATGAATGAAAAACAGACTGTGGTAGATCTGTACAATGGAATACTATTCAGCCACAGAAAGAAATACTGATCAATGCTACAATGCGGATAACCTTGAAAACACTATGCTGTGTGAAAGAAGCCAGATACCAATGCCCAAATATTGGCTATTTAGATTGATATAAAATACCCCAAATCAGCATCCATAGAGAAAGAAAGCAGCTTGGTAGTTGACAGGGACTTGGAAGGAGTGAGGAATGGGCATGGCAGCTTAATGGGTGTAGGGTTTCTTACAGGGTGAGGAAAAGGTTTTGCAGTTTGAGGTGATGGTTATACAGTGGTATGAACGTACTAAATGCCACTGAAGTCTACACTTTAAAATGGTTAAGTTTGTTATGTGAATTTTACTTCAATTTTAAAAAATCCAGTGATGCTTTTAACTTAAAGTCCTGAGAAAATGGAAAGGCAGATGGGGAAACACACACACACACACACACACACACACACACTGGATTTAGGAAAAAAACAGTAAATGAGGAAAGAAGGAAAGTGGGACATCCAGACTAGGATATGGCCTAGGACAAAGGGAGAGAGGGTCCACACTCAGCAAAGGGTGGGCCTGACCTCTATCTTCAGTAACTGAGATCTCCAACCATGGGTCAGGCAACCTGGAGATGCTGTGAGCTTTCAGCTTTCTCCTGCAACATCTACCATTTTAGTCGGAAGATCTGAGACAACACAGTTGTTGAATACTCGCTCCAATTGCCTAAGTGGTAGGCCTAGGCCAGGCTGAAGCCAAGTATCCAACCCCTGGATAAGCCACGCAGAGCCTGTGCTGGGCCTGCCCCTGTCAGCACCTGGGTGGCAGCTGCTTGCCACATCTGGCAGCTCCAGGTTGAGGGCAGCTCTTGGGCAGGGGCCATGCCTTGCTACTGGCTGTATCTCTGGCATCAATCAGAGGCCCTGGCAAAGAAGAGGTGACAGCACATATACGTGTTAAATAAACAGCCTCTATTTCATATATTGTATCAGTTGAGAATTTTAGTAGATAAAACACAGATCCGGTACAAAATTCAAAAGCCTCTGGCGAATACACAGTAACAAATTTGCCTTTCTTGCACCCTCCTACTCCAGCTTCTCCGGGGCAACCTTTGGCACCGCTCCACTATTTGCAATGTGACTGGGGGACGAAGTTCTGACTCGAGGAGGCTCCCACAACCACACTCCCCAGTGATCTTGGAGGTGGGTCACCACCAGGAGATGGGAGCTACATGTGACATCAAGACAGAAGTCATCTGGGTGAAAACAAAGTCCCAGTATTCTGTGCCAGCAGCAGGCACAGGCCCCAGAGCCATAGCTTGCAGAGGAATCTGTGAGGGTAACAACCATCCCCTTGAGTCATTCATAGAACAACGGGAAACCCAAGAGCAGAGACCACCCAGCCAGTCAACAGTGCCAGCCACCTCAAACTCCTCACTCAACCTTCGTACCTAGAAAATTTCAAGCTGGGAAAGGTGACATTGCTACACAATGGGATGGAAGTAGATGTGTGCATACCACTCTCATCCATGCACCTAGAGAGGTGTTATGTTTTGTGTGGAGGAACAAATTCACCTTAAAGGAATTCAACTGTGAGCTGGGTGGCATGGTCCCAGCGATGGGCTTTGTGGTGGACACAGCTGACAGAAATTAAGAATGGTGGGGAGAAGGGGTGCCCAGGAAATCGAGGTACTGGAGAGGTTTGATCCATTTAGTGATGAGCAACCTGGGCCAATCCCAAGCCTGGACCAAGTCCCTGGGCTGAGCCATGTGTGGTGGGGGCATCTGCACACACTGCTTTGTCAGGCTGGATTGTGAGGCTGAGTAACCACTGCCCTGTAGAGTCACCAAACCCTGAGCTAAAAAAAGATTCAAGCCACGCAGGCTCATCTGTTTCCCCAAGGTTCCTGCCTAATGTGGTGATGCACTGGCAGGCTAGAGGGTGAGTCGGGCGCTTATCTGATTTCAGCCAATCTGTTACTGTATTTCATTCCCTGTCCTCGTGCCCAGAGGCTGTTGCAATGGGTATAAATTTAGAAAGAGAAAGATAAATAACATGGAAAAGTTCCTTTTAACAGAATAGGGTTCTCGTTCTCTCTCTCTCTCTCTCTCTCTCTCTCTCTCCATTTTGCTAAAGAAAAGATAAGATGATCTTGTTACTTATTTACCCTTACCATGGTAGAATGTGATATTTTGGGCAACAACCTAATAATGTATAACCATAGCCCAAGATGAACCAGCTCCTCCTGAGACTGTGAGAGAGTCAAGCCTCTATCCTGAGCATTTCTTAGAAACTGAGGGAGTGAGAAGATGACAGCACCTTGCACTGAAATCCACGAGGGTCCCTTCTGAACAAGTAAAAGACTCTCCAAGAAGACTGTTTATGTTCTATGAAATGCTCTATACCAGCTAACCTAACATGCTGTGTCTGGAATTGTCACTGGCAACTTCACTGTACACATTGATACTTTAAACGAAACCTGTTCTATAAGGAAATTAATATCACAGATGGGAGATTTTCAGTTGGTGGCAATTAACTGAAAGAGAAACTGCTTGAGAAATGTTTGCCTTCCCTCACACACAAACGCACAGCCTGGTGGGTTATGGAACCCTCATGGTAAAAGACTAGATCAATTCCATCACCTAATCATTTAGCCCAAGGCCCATTCTACAGGGAAGAAAACCAAAGTTAAGTGACTGGCCCAACATCACATGGCTGCCACAAATAGAGGGGGGCCAGGACCAGGTCTCACAGTCCTTCCCTGGGGTCACCGTGCAACTGCCACCCACCACCTGGATGTCAACCAGACTCAGCGGCTGTACCTCTGACAGCATGTCATACTGGCCTCTTCTTCCAAGAGCAATGGTCAGTAAGTCATAGACCACAGATGCGCTCTGCAGACTGATGAGGCGGTCACTCTTGTGTTCGGGTATCCTGCTCAGCACAGCGTCCCGGTTGGCCTGAAAAAATATGGAAGAGAGAAGCAGATGGAGAGAGAAGCTAGCACTGTGTGGTGGGGAGGCCACCTAGGCCCTCCTGCCCCTACCAGTTTGCCAAGGGAATGGAGACAAAGGCAGGAATGAGTAGAGGCCTGTCACCTTGGGTTATTTATTCAAAATCCCCTGAGCACAGCAGAGCATGATATATGGGATGATCCAAATGCTGAAGTCCTGGAAGTGTGAACCTAGAGGACACCTGTACCTGTCGGCAGGCATTTGGAGGAAGCCTTGGCAGCCGATACAAAGTTTTCCCTGGGCTCGGCTTCACAGCCAGGCTCCTGGAAGACGCAGCTGCGCTCTAGAGCAGCCGAGTCATCCATCAAGTGAGGCCCTGCTGCGCCTCACCTGTGAATCCCGCTTCTGCTCTACATTAAAGAGTGGGAGAAAATTCCCAGCCCTGCATCTCCCAACACCGAATCGTGTCATCGACTTCCATTAGTCCTAGAGATACATCTCACTTTTCCTCTATCAGCAAGCAACATTCAAATCCCTATATGACATCTTCACTGGAACAGAACACAAAGACAAATTCAATCTTGTTTAGGGAAGCACAACACAGGAATATAAGAGAAAACAAGAAGAAAGCAGATTTTTACTTTAAAAGACATTAACACAGAGGACTCAAGAGAACACTGTCAATTTGCTCTGCTTAGCATAGACATACATCAGGCACATTCACACTTATTAATCTCATCTATCCAGAAATCAAAGGCTCTTTACAGCAACTTGTTTCCATTCCTTCTAAATTTTAATTTCTCTACAGATTCCTCCAAATATACCACACGTATAAGACCCAGCAGCTAGCTCATTTTCCTTTCTTCCCTAATAGGGCGTTCAGAATCAACCATTAGATTTCGCCTGCCATTCTTCCCCTCCTGCTAATTAACAGAAGTCTGCAGATCCAACCTGTCCATAGGAGCAGAAAAAGGCCCCCCAGTCTTTCCTGTGAAAGTGGTACATGAGGTTCCGGGGTCACTTGTCCCAGCAGGCTGACGTTGATCTTCCCCCTGACATTCGGAAAGGCCACACACACACACACCTTCCCTCTCACTAATGAGACAAAACGCATGTTCTTTGTGTGTGAGTCCAAGGCATTTACTCTGAGCCGCCCATCGGTACTTACTCACTTTCAAACTCCTTGCTCTTAAATGTCAAAGACAAATAAGAATATATAAGACAGGCCACTTCCTACAAAGTGAGTCATCTCTTACGGAAACAAGCCTGCTTTTGAAGATTTCATTCTAAGTTTTTCTTGTTAGGAGTCCCTTTTGAGCCCCCAAAAAAGCAGCCCTAAAGGAAACAGGGCCTATTGCAAATGGTCTCACTTTATTTATTTGCTATACATGTTCCATACTGAGACCAATGCCTGGAAGAGAACAAAACAAAAATACTCTTTATGAGAGATTTTCAAGATATACCAAATGCATGTTTTTCATTTTTAGAGAAAGTATCAGTATCTTTTGATTAAAAAGGTACAATGTAGAACCCCAAACAGACCGCAGTAAAAAATATCCCAGAATACTGCTTCAGTGGTAGTTCTGCAAATCACATTCTTATAATCCCGTTCTCACAGGGGAAACTAATTTGATTTGTAGTTAGAAAACAGCACAGTTGTAAATGATATCTTGTAGGCAGAGATGCTATGGACAAACTCATGCTTCTGAGTTAAAGTCAGAACCAACAAAGAACACAATTTCCTGGCGTCCAAAAAACACAGCAATTTTCATTTTGGTTTTGAAACTGAGCACAGTCATTTTCTGCCTAAAAATTGAAAAATCAAGAAGTCAAAGGACATGAAAAAAAGGCTTCAAAGGCAATTTCATTGATTTCTACCTATATTTTCTGAAGTGATTTACAGGGAGAACATAATCATTTTGGTTAGAAACCTCATCCTTCATATCCACTGATGACATCACTGGATTTCAACATCCCCTCGAGAGATTTTTCTGAAAAATTAAATGCCACAGAGTCAAATCTGACTGTCTCAAATGAATCTCAATTTTTGAGTATCATTCATTTCTATCAGTTCAATTAAGAAGCAGGAGAACTGGAGACATCATTCCAAAGACATCTCCACTTAGTGCAAGTGTTTTCGAGATGTGGCCATGTTTTCTGAATTGCAGACTGGAATACCTCATCTGGTAATGGAACATAATATTTTCAATCAGACCGTCCAAGGAATCTAAAATGTACGGTCATCATGCTTTCAGAACTTTTATACCATAACCAACCAGTTTGCCCAAAGGGAACTACCTACCAAGGGCCCAGCTCAGGTTGAAAGAATGCTGACCAGGAGGCCAAAATGAGCTGGCCCCATGGATGGGCCAGTGGAGAAGCCTGGGAAGATTCATTCACTTGAATGCCACCAAGTGCCAGCCTATGTACTTCCCTGATTGCGCCAAGGCAAGCAGAGAAGGTAAATGACACCATCCTAAGTTACCAGCAGACTATCAAGGCAATAGGAGCCGAGGGGCAACCTGCTTCTTGAGAGGAAGTAAGCCCAATAACACCAAGGAGCTTCCAAATCAAAAGGGGTGGTAACTCCTCAAGTAGGCTTGCTCTTGTAAACATTGGTGGGCCATTCTGCAGAACAAGAACACCCAAAGTTTTAATCAAAGACAAGAGAGCTGCCCCTCATGAGCACGGCCTCTTCTGATCCCTCCTCCTCTCCGCACATGTACGTTATTATACTCATATTCCATGTCTAAGTCTTTTCACCTGAGTCCATTTTACACCTCCCATTCAACAGTATGTGTGGGGAGGGCAAGGAGGGAAATGCCGTTTCTTGCTTTAGTTACAGTTCCCTTTTCTCCTCTGTGCTGCCCGGGGTTGGGGGGTGACAGTTATGGGGAGGGGCAGTACAATCTCCTAGCAGGAGCAGAAGACCACTGCATGATGCATGCATTCTGCCTGCTCCGGGACTCAGGTTCCTCATATGTAAAATGAGGGAAGGGGACATGAGCCCTCAAGATCTTTTGATTCCTGTAGTCTGCCATTCTGCTCGGGTGCTCAGTACACATCACTTTCTGCTGAGGAATTCACTATTACAACACACATGATCCTGAAGGTTTCAAGCCAAGGCCACAGTGCCTAGTGATACACATGGCAGAAACCCAATAAATGACGAGTGGTGCAACAGACCTAAAATTCCACAACGTGGCCAAACACTAAGAAAATGTTTCAAAGGAATCAGATGGTCTAGAGAAAACTCCCTCACAATAGCACAGGGAACAGAAGTGAGCTCTCACCGCCTTGGACCTTACAGTGTCTGGTGACAGCTGGAAGCTGGGAGAAAGAACCAAAGCAGGAGGATCAGAGTTTTATCACGTTCCTGCTGTGAAAACCAGAGGTTCAGAGATCCAACAAATGACCTATCCCAAAATGCTCCCCCACACCAGGGCAAACTGAGAGGCTTGTAAAGGTGACCCTTGGGGGTCTCTTTCCCCTTTTAAGGTTCCACTGGCGGTCATTTTAGCTGTGGTTAACCTAGATACAACTGTATGAACGTTCAACCAATACCAGATGGATGAATAAAGGAACTAAGACATCTGCTTCAGGACAGAAGATAGAGAAGCTCCAAGCTCCAGGCTAACCAAGGGACATTGCTAGCTAGTCCAGGAATTAAGAAACAACCCTCTTTTTAAACCTCCACTGTTTTTTTCCATCCAGATCTACCCTGTAGAAAGTACCTTCTCTCAAGAAAGAGAGTCATCATACTGGCAGAATGGCGTTATCAAAAAAGGGACTACGGGGATGGGGAAAGAACAATGTGAAAACACATTCTACTCACCATTGACTCACTAATCAGCAACAACAACAAGGCTTCTTCAGTATTTTCTTGAGGACAAAAAATGCTGCATAAAGAAAACCAATTTTGATAAATGGCAGTTTCAAAATAACACAAAATATACAAATACAAACAGAACCGAACACTAAAAGCTTCCAGAATTTTATATAATGGCCATGAAAAATACTGTATCATTTGGACACTTGAATTAATTTGCCTATTTCCATGGTAATCTATGAAATTCATACATTTTAGCTATGCATTTTAGTGGTAGGCAGAAGGGTAAAGTAAAGCTGTAAAAACCAAGTTAAAAGCCCAAATAACATATGTACCTATTACAGAGGCAGAAATTTAGATCTCAATAAATTGGCATTACCTAAATAATACAAGCTTCCTCCTAACCCATTACAGAGGTATGAATTGCAGGCATTTCACTAAACAGTACTCTTCTTACCTCTTACCTGCTAACTGGCATATCTGGTCATTTCGATGAAATAAGAGATTAGAAGCAATTTTAGAGTTTCAATAATTTATCTAATTCTGTAAGAATTTAGTGAGCTATCTTACTTGGACTCATAAGTTTTATTATGGGGTAGCATGCAAGAGCTCTTATTAATCTATTTTATGGAATTTGGCTAAACTCTTAAATCTTGGATTAAAGAAAAATGTTTGAAGCTCAATGTTGCTCAGGATTAGAGAATAACAAAAACCCAACAGAACCCCAATCTGTATTCTCTAGAGCCTGTTTTCTGTACTGTGAGCACTTGCAGCATTTTTTCTCCTGTTCTAAAGCTCTACAATCCTGGGAGTAGAATTGTGAACATTATCACCAATTGGGTCAAACTCAGTATTTTTTCATGGGATGGAAGAAGAGTGTGCAATAAATAAAAATCAACTTGGTTTTAAAAAAAACTCTTAGATATTTTGAAGATGACTAAGAATGACTAAGTTTATATCTTCCCAGGGATAATAATACAATAATTTCATTGAAAAGATTCCCCTACAAAATAAAAGTAAAAAAACAAAACATTATTCAAATAATTATAAACATTTGTTTCTTTGAAGTACGGGCAATTTTTGTTTTGCATCTTAAGATGATAAAGAGCAAGACAGAAAGAATACAGCGCCTGGTATTCTCATTACAATCCTGACATCGCTGGAGGTAAGGAAGTCACCCGCAGGATGATTTCTATTGCTCTTCCAAGGCTAAAATTTTATGAAAAGGCTGGCCTGAGAATAAGGAGTAAATCCTGGGATGTGCAGTAACTTGCTTCAGAAGTCAGCTTGAGACAATCTGGGATTTTCAGGTGGGACTTCTTTCCCCTAAGATTCTGAAATAGAGCCTAAATACCCTGAATTAAGTGTCTTCAAAACAACCACCTCAGTATGTTGCTGTTGTTGTGTGTGTGTGCATGCCTGTGCATGCACACCTGTGCCCAGCAATCATTTTCTGATATCCTGGCTTGTGCTTATATGCAATTGGGACCTTGCAAATAAAGCATTAACATGAACCATTGTGTGTGTGTGTGTGTGTGTGTGTGTGTGTGTGTCTGTGTGTGCACAGCCATACCTAGCAATTGTTTCCTGATATACTGGCTTGTGCTTACATGCAGTTGGGACTTTGCAAATAAAGCAGTAACATGAACCATTTTTTTTTTCATAGTTAGCCAATTCTGCATTGTCCAGACCAATTGAAAAAAAAGACAGCCTATGCTAATTGTGACTTAACATCTCAGTCAATTCAGTCCATGGCTAATTTCCAATTCTGTTTGAGCCATCCAGCCTGCTTAAATGATAGTTTGTGTTATTTTTACTATAGTTGCTAACAAGTGGCACATTAACTGAATCCAGTTCCACTTTCTCTACCCTCCCTATTTGTGGCAGGCAAGATGGGTACTCAGGAGCACTGCAAAGCTCCCAAGTTCAGCAGAAGAAGTGGGGGAAGAAAGGGTAGTTTTAAGAAACACACCTGAACAACTACACACTGGAAGGCTCCACTCAGTCATTATGAATTCTCTAGACCCATTTCTTGGTAATTCCTTCCCTCTTCTTTGCTCAGGGAAGTGTGGATGGAGCTCAGGGTGAAAAAGTGTTGGGGCCTTCCTTTTGTGGCCTCCTCTTTGGGGCCTAGGAGCCTCAGGGAAGATCCTGGGGTAACCAGGCCTCAGCCTTGAAAAGTGGAAAAACTGGGGCCCTAGATCCAGAGGCAGTTGTTTGAAGGCGAAGGTCGGGGACAGGAGGGAACAAGGAGAAAACAGGGATCAGCAGGCATGAGGACAAGCTCCCAAGAGCTGGCGGGCTGGCAAAGGAGTTGGCTGTGCAGGCGGTTGCTGCACTGAGAATGAGAGGGGGCATCCTCGATTCAGCCTTCCCACCAACTCACTGGGTACCCTATAGACAAACTGCCCATTTTCTTACTTTGGATGAATTTACCAACTCATTTTCTGATTCTACAGAAGACATAGAGAACAAGGGTGAGAATTCTCAGGTATAAGTAGTAATCATCATCTTGCCAGGGCTCCTAGATAATAGCTTTTTCTTAAAAATTTCCCCCAACAGGTAGAAAACTTTACTATAATGGTAGAAACAATCATACAAGAGAAATTAATCCAACTTTATCCAATGCATTTCATCTCTTCTGTCACCTTCAGCCACTACATAACTAATGACAAGTTGGATGTCTAAAGGTCATTGGCATCTCCTAAAACTCTATATTTAGGTGCAGGGAGGCCCTTGAACACTGCCAACCCATGAGAAAGTTGATTTGTAAATAATGACAACATCAATCAACTCCAACGTCTATTAAGGGTTCCTTTATAATTTTAATATACCTGACTGAGATACTACTAGGAAATTCCTGGAGAAACACAGCCTCTGAACCATAGCCAGCCACATAAGAGCAGAGGCATGGAGGCCAAGAATAGCTGAAGTCCCACCCCGACCCCAAATCACACTGTCTGCAAACAGGCCAAGGCAGAATTTACTGTCAATCCCTGGTTTGTGCAGATAAGTGGGTACCAAGAAAGGAAAAGGACTTATATTCAAAATTAAGAGTGCATCTTGATTATTAGGGATCAGCTGGTCCAATGTGAGGACTATTAAGGCCTCAACACAAATATTCCCTTTTGTGTCAATTTATATAGGTCAAAAATCTCCCCAAGACAAAGAAAGAAGTGTCCCTCATACAAATGAGTGCAGGTCCACTGAGCTACACTCTACTGAGTGAGTCAGGTGAATCCCACATAGCACAACCCCTTGCACAAGTGCTTCCATGTCCCTGCTGAGGGAAGGGCCTCTCCATGACTCCATGGTAAGCTGTGTGCACCAGGGGCAAGGAGAAGACAGCCCGCCAGTGGTGCAGCTGGTCATTTACACAGCTTTGGTGTGGCCATCAAGAAGTCATCCTGATCCTTCAACATCCCTCCACTTTCCATTTTGTTTCATTTTATTTTATTTATTTTTGCAAGCTGTTGAGGATTTATTGTGTCCAGGGAAGGGTCTGGCCAGTGCCTGGCTTGGGCTGTCCTGCCCTCCCCAGCCAAGACCCCTCCATTTTCCATTTTAAACAGCATCCCCATCCTTACCAAAAACTTCTGCATTGGCAACCAGGAGGTTCGGATCTACACTTAGTATTCCATGATGATTACCTTTTCCTCCTAGACCTACAAAGGAGTTTACACAATGCCTGGCACTCACTAGCATTCAATAAATCTTTTCATCATCTACTTCTTGGCAATATTATCCAATATTAACCACTAACCACAATAGCTGTTTTTAATCTTCTGCTTTACTTTGTGTTAACTATCTAGTCTAATAGGTATTTAATTATTGAAGCTACCTCAAGGGCTTCTTTAAAGAAGAAATACAATGAAAAATAAAGTATACCTGACTGACTGAAACACACACAAATATGTACATTAAGAAACATGCAGGTGCAGGGGGAAAAATGAAACATGTACAAGACTCTTCATAGAAGCACTGTTCCTATTAGCCCCAAATGGGAAACAACTCACATGTCCAACATGAGCAGAATGGATCAATATATCAGAGGACAGTCATAAAATGAAATACCTTGCAGCAATGAAAAACACTGCTATGTGAAAAAATACGGGTGAATGGTTCAAATATAAAGTTAGACAAAAGAAGTTAAACATTAGAGAGTACATAGCGTATGATTCCATGTAGACAAATTTCAAAAAGGGGCCAGACTAATGATTGCAACTGAAGTCAGGAGAGGGCTGCCCTGGGTGGGAGTGCTGGCAGGGAGAGGGTTCGGGAGAGCGTGTAGGTCCATTAGTGTCCTTTCCTCACCAAATGCTACTTATATGGATATGCTAACTTGGTGGAAGTTCATCAAATTTCATACTTTTAAGTTATTTTTCTCCATGTATGGTGTGTCATCAAAAAAAAAAGCTTACTCTAAAATATAAGTAAACAGAAGCTGATACAATTCTTCACAGAAACACCCAGAAGAAAAGCAAGCCAGGAAGCCTGTGACAGGTGATCCCTCTTCTCATTCCATCCAGGATTTTCCACAGTGTATTTCCTTTCAAATTAAAGATGGGCAGAATGAGCATCCTGTATCCATTTCACATTCAGGTCACCTTGACCATGGGTGGAGCTTCCTGGCAGGGCTTGTTTTCCAGTTATGTTCCATTATGACCAATCTTCTGAATGGTCCTTGTGATTTTCTGGAGCTAGAAGGATCTCTGCCATCTAAATTTTGCTTGACACTCACACTTCTCATAAGAGACTGTGGGGAAGGAGACTGTCAGCCAAAACAAGGTTTGCACATTATCTACAGATTCCCTTTCCCACCTCCAAACCAGCATAACTGAATGGTGAACATGTGCTTTCTGCTGATGTGGATGGGTCAGAGTACTGCCTTGGTAAGAAGAGAACCTCCAAACAAGAATAACTCCCACCGCTGTTCCCTCTTTACTAATATTCTAAGAAGTAGAGTTCTGAACACAAAAAATTACAAAGCTAAAAACGATGGTGATAAATGAAGGCATAGGCTTCATGTGGAAATGAATGAAATAGAGAACAGAATCACAATAGAAAAAAGAAGTCAAAACCCAAAATTGGTTACAAAATTGACAAACTTTTAGTTCGACTGACTCCAAAAAAGAGAAAAAAGACTTAAATTACTAAAATGAGAAATGAAAGAGAGAACATGACAACAAACCTTGCAGAAATACAAAAATAAATAAATAAATAAAGGAATGCTATGAACAATTGTACAAAAGCAAATTAGGTAATTTAGATGAAGCAGACACATTTCTAGAAAGATGCAAACTATTCAAACTGATTCAAGAAGAAATGGAAAATACAAATAGACCTATCACAAGTAAAGAGATTGAATTTGTTTTTTTGAAAAACTTCCTACAAAGAAAGCCTAGGTCCAGATGACTTAACTGGTGAAGTCTAATTAAATTGGTATTAATATAAAGGATTAATACCAATTCTCCACAAACTCTTTCAAAAAGAAGAGGAGGGAATAATCTCCAACTCATTTTATAAGGCCAATATTACTCTAATAGCAAAACCAGACAAAGACATCATAAAAAAACTGCAGAATAGTATCTTTTATAAATATAGATGTAAAAACCTTTAACAAAATACCAGCAAATAGAACCCAACAGTAAATAAAAAGGAGTATATACACCATGACTTGGACAGGGAGGCAGTTTGGTTTAATGTGTGAAAATCAATTAATGTGATACACCACAGCATTAGAATAAAGGACGAAACCCACATTATCATTTCAATTGATGCAGAAAAAGCAGTTGACAAAATTCAACACCCATTAATAATAAAAATAACAAACTGAGGAAGGAGAATTGCTTGAACCCAGGAGGCGGAGGTTGCAGTGAGCTGAGATTGTGCCACTGCACTCTGCCCTGGCGCCTGGCGACAGAGACTCTGTCTCAAAAAACAACAACAAACTAGAACTAGGAAGCCCTTGTCTTTTTTTTTTTTTTTTTTTTGAGACGGAGTTTCGCTCTTGTTACCCAGGCTGGAGTGCAATGGCGCGATCTCGGCTTACCGCAACCTCCGCCCCCTGGGTTCAGGCAATTCTCCTGCCTCAGCCTCCTGAGTAGCTGGGATTACAGGCACACACCACCGTGCCCAGCTAATTTTTTGTAATTTTTAGTAGAGACGGGGTTTCACCATGTTGACCAGGATGGTCTCGATCTGTTGACCTCGTGATCCACCCGCCTCGGCCTCCCAAAGTGCTGGGTTTACAGGCTTGAGCCACCGCGCCCGGCCGGAAGCCCTTGTCTTAACCTGATGAAGGGCAGCTACGAAAGCCCATAGTGAGCGCCATACTCTATGAAAGACTAGATAATTTCCCCCATCTGAGATCAGGAATGAGACAGGATGTCCATGCTTGCCACTTCTAGTCAACATTGTACTGGAAGTCCTAGCCAGGGCAATTAAGGAAGAAAATAAAATAAAATGCACCTAGGTTAGAAAGGAAAAAGTAAAACCATCTCTATTAGTATTAATAGGTGACACAATCTTGTATATAGAAAATCCTAAGGAATCTAAGAAATTTATTAGGACCAATAAACAAGTTTAGCAAGGTTACAGTATACAAGATCAATTTCAAAATCTGTTCTATTTCCATATACTTGCAATGAACAATCCAAAAATGAAATTAAGAAACAACTGTATCTGTAATAGCATCAAAAAGAATAGCACATTTGCATGTACACGTGTGCACGTGCACACACACACACACACACACATTCAGGAATAAGCATTAACAAAAGAAATACAAACTTTATATCCTGAAAAATACAAATCGTTGTTGAAAGAAAATAAGACAACCTAAATAAATGAAAAAATATCTCATGTTCATGAATCAGAAGACTTAATATTTTTAAGATGGAAATATTCCTCAGATTAATCTAAAAATTCTAGACAATTCCTATTAAAATCCCAGCTGCCTATTTTTTTTTCAGAAATGGACAAACTAATTCTAAAATTCATATGGAAATTCAAGGGCTTGGGAGACAGAAGGGTGACAGCTAAGAGGTTCTGGGTTTATTTTGGGGGTAATACAAATGTTCCAATCATGGCAAAAGATGTACAACTATGCAAGTATATTGAAAAATCCACTGAAGTGCACACTTTCAATGGATGAATTATATAATTTCTGAATTATGTCTCAATAAAACAGTTTTTTAAAAAGCTGATCACGTGTATCCATGTGAACTCAAACCGGTGACTCAGTAGCCAGTGCTACTATGGGAATGCTCCCTTTAATGACTACGTTTTCTGGAGCTGCATTTTGCTTCTATATTCTCCTTGTACAGATGGGAAAGCTGACATTAGCAAAGTGACAACATCTGAGTGGTTCAGGAAATGGAGAAACCAGCACTGTGAGCGTCTCTGCCTTCGAGGGGTAAGGCCATACTGGGTGGCACCCAAAGAGACACAGAACTCCCACTATGTGTCAAACCGGACTCAGGAGGAAGAGGGTGAGAATGGAGTTCCTCAACGCACTTGACACCTTGGTTATTAAGAAGCATCTAAAGCAGCGGAAAACTCTAGAGTCAATTCTTATGATATAAATACCGCTTAAAAATGAACCCCAAACCTGCTTCTAAATAGTTCATATTGAGGGGTCAGTGTTTTAGAAATGAGAGCACTGAAAATTGCTAGAACAGACATTTTATGAATCCAGATAAAGACTAAAGAGTAAACACGGGCTGTGAATTAAGCAACTCATGGTTCCACAAGGCTGTAGAAAAGGGGGAAGAAACGAAATTAAGATAAGCCTCGGGAAAAAGCTAAGAATATGCTAACTCATATGAGTCCACATAAGAAACACAAACTTGAACAAGAAGGTGACAAGAGAGAGAAATGCAAGGGTCAACTTAAGAGGATTATTAAGAGGTGGCACCCCTGAAGAAATGCTGACTCCTCTGAAGGTGCAACAATCATTTTCAGTTGTCTGAAATCTTGAGTTCCAGATGGAGAAAGCATCTATCTAGTCACGCCATCTCTATCAGTGCTTTCTCTGGGGCTTCAGAAGCAGCCACCTGCAGCCTCTCCGCTGTTTTTCTAATTTGAAAACACGGAAAAGGTCTTCAATATTTATTCATTTGTGTTCCTCTTTCCTTCACACAGAAATTCTGAAAGCCGTCCTGTCTTGTCCTTATAAAAACAGGCAAAGGCCAGCGCGGTGGCTTACACCTGTAATCCCAACACTTTAGGAGGCTCAAGTGGGCATATCACCTGAGGTCAGGAGTTCGAGACCAGCCTGGCCAACATAGTGAAACCCTGTCTCTGCTAAAAATACAGATGTTGGCTGGGCGTGGTGGCTCACGCCTGTAATCCCAGCACTTTGGGAGTCCGAGCAGGCGAATCACAAGGTCAGGAGATCGAGACCATCCTGGCCAACATGGTGAAACCCTGTCTCTAATAAAATGCAAAAAATTAGCTGGGCATGGTGGCACATGCTTGTAGTTCCAGCTACTTGGGAGGCTGAGGCAGGGGAATCACTTGAATCTGGGAGGCGGAGGTTGCAGTGAGCTGAGATCATGCCACTGTACTCCAGCCTGGTGACAGAGGGAGAATCCATCTCAAAAAAAAAAAAAAATTAGCCAGGTGTGGTGGTGCACACCTGTAATCCCAGCTACCCGAGAGGCTGAGGCAGGAGAATCACTTGAACCTGGGAGGTAGAGATTGCAGATTGCCTCACTGTACTCCAGCCTGGGTGACAGAGCGAGACTCCATCTCAAAAACAAAAATAAAAGAACAGGCAAAGATAAAGGCTTGAATGGGAGGCATTGAGAATGAGTCAACAACCATTCCTGCCTCCAAGCCCTTCTCTTTGACTCTTTCTTCTCTGTCTGGCTGGGGGAAGGCTCATGCTAAGACTGCAGTGACTCTCTGGCCCATTTTCCTCCAAGGTGATCAAGTCTCAAATTTAAAACTTAAAAAGATAGAGAAGTTCTAAAGAGATGTCACTTCTAATCACTTGCAAATATTTGATTCTCCTTCTTATATCTAGTTCCATTTAGAACAAGATTTTAAACGAAAGGATCAATGAATTGCTGAAGAAAAGAAATGTTAGATGGGTGAGATCAATGTTACATGGCTCACGGACAGCCTTATTTCTGATTGCTGTCTGATGCTGAGGTCTGACAATAAACGGAATGAAAATTCTAAAAACCAATAGTGATGGCTGCAAACAGCACCCAAGCACTGAGATGAGAGCACCCTCCTACTCAAAATGTCCCCGCCAATACACAGATACTTGCCGAACTTATGAAAAGCAATGAGGAATCTCTACTAAACTGGAAAACAAGACTTGTTCATTTGATTTTCTTTTAGGGAAAGAAAATCTACTCTTGTACTTCTTGTCATCCTTAAATTTTCCCAAGTTTCCCTCCCATCCCGTAACCTACAAGTGAGGACATCAACTTTCATACTTCTCTCCTGAGTAGACACGGGCTCTCCGAGTGAGAGTGTAGGTTTTTGTGTTTGCTCCTTTGCGGAGAGGATCGTCCAGAGGTGACTGGCACGGTGGATCCTCCAGAGGGTTCCAGTAGCTCTGCTCACACATACCCCGCAACAGGATCTCTGCCAGCTGCCTGGCTATTGTCTGGGAACATAAATGAGGAAAAGCATAGCCATGAATCTATTTGGTATTAGTCATTCTTTCATTCGGTCAGTCGGTCAATAAATATGGATATCATCACACTATGCTAAGCACTACTGCAAGGCTCATAATTAAAAATTTTTCTTTTATGATAATTATACCAGTTTGTGACAAAAATGAAAATTTGATTCACTAAGACGTTTGAAAACTTTTTTAAAAAAAATGTTCATGTACTTCAAATGCCCCATCTGTCACACTCTGGAATACCAAACATGCTTAATACCTGAAACAACTGGAACTTTTGGCTATGCTCTTTCCCAAGAGCCCTTATAAATAACAGGTGAGCTGCAGATATTAGCATCACTAATGATGTGTGCTAAATCTCAAGCCTGGCAAAAAGCTTGCACTCAGCTTAAATAATGCTATCCCTGAAAAAATTACCCTCGCTGGCAATCTGACGTCCACTGCAGACATTCAGGACATCTTCCTTCTTAAATGTACCAATGGCAGGCCCTACATGTCCCACCCTCGAGGACTCAGCACCTGACTGTCTGTTCTCAGCACCTCCTGGGCTCCTGGCCCAGAGGTTCTCACTGGCCTTGTGCAATATGGAAGGCAAAGTGGGAACATGGTTCCAGATCAAGAAAGATCTTTCTTCAAAGCTGAATGGGTATCTTCTTCTTCACAGTGAAAACCCAGAAACATCTGGATCCTGTCCTCCAAGTTAGATTAATTTGCTTTCTCACACTTCTATAACCCCACTGCCTAAAACAGTACCATGTATAATGAATGTATGGAGGGGAAAGAATGCATGATATGTACTAAGAAGTGTTTTGTTGATTGATGCATGTCAGTTCACTTAGCTTATACTCTTCCAGTAACAAAGAAGAGGATAGGTAATTTTTTAAAAATCCCTCTGAAAACAGAAGCACTACATCCGAGGGTAGTCTACTCTACCCACGATCAGCCAGAGGTGCCACAATAAACCAGCATGGTTTTCTACCAGCTTTCAGTATTCTTTGAAAGATGCAGACAAAGAATGCTGATCTTCTGAGAAGGAGCCTTTTTAAAAAAATCAGTAAATGTTTCAGAAGAGAGCTCTGCTAAGCTTCCATCCATATGAAATCTCTTAAAACACCACAAGGTAAGTTAAACCCAACCAAATCACTAAAATAGTGCTTTCTGGTAACCACTGGGCAAAGGCAAATTTTCTTGATTATTTCCAAATAAGACCCATTGGCATTAAGTGTCTATAAAAATGTGAAATTAAATGCACTCTGATCATCCCCAACTGAGCAACCTATAAAGATCTCATCAGAACACAATTTTCAGGACCTAAACAGCTCCTGAACTGTTTTCTTAAACCTTCCTTTATAGTTTCATTGTGATCTCATTGCAGTCATATAAGCTAATGACTTTTGCTGAAAACTTCAACTGGAAAAAAATAACTTCCACTCACTCTAGCTAAGAAATAAATGTTAGAAAGAAAAAAAATGAGCAAGGAACTTCATTTTCTGAATCTATCTGCCATGGAGGAATTTTAAAGTCGGAAAAACTTCTGCCCTGAACAGTTTGTTTGTTCACTACTAGATAACTCATGCTAGGTCTCATTTTCCCTCAGGGTATTAACCTTCCTGAAAGATGTTTTTCATGGGGTTTTGATGTGATTGTATATTTTAAAGACGTCACTTTGTCAGTGCGCTACCCATTAAGAAGGCCATTTGGCTATGTCTACTGAAAGCGCAAATGAAGTCCAGAAAAAACAACAAATATAAAAAGTCACCAGCAAGATCACCAACATCTAGCACAGCTTTTACTTTTTAGACTCAACCTACATTTAGCCTGTGGTTTAAATGCTTCAAATTATTGGTAAGTATAAAATAAATTCGGAATCAAAGGAGAGAAAGGTAGGAAGTGGGCCTGAAATAAGACCTGGATGTTTATGTACAAAATTTTTGCTGTGTGTGTGTGTGTGTTTTAAAACTTGTGGTGAAATTCACATAACATAAAAGTCACCATTTTAATAAAGTCTACAATCCAACAGCATTCAAGAACTCACAATGTTGTGCAACCATTAGCACTACCTAGTTCCGGAACATTTTCATCACCCCAGAAGGAAACCCTATATCCTTTAAGCAATCACTCCCCATTTCCCCTCCCTCCCAGACTCTGGGAACAACTAATATGCCTTCTGGCTCTATGGACTTGCTTATTTTGGACATTTCATATAAATAAAAGTATGTGATATGGGTCTTCCTGTGACCAGCCTTCATTACTTACCGTAAAGTTTCCAAGGTTCATCCATATCATTGCGTATGTGTCAGTAGTACCTCGTCCTTTTTTACGGCTGAATGATACGCCATTGCAGGGATACACCACATTTTGTTTACTCATTCTTCGGTTTTAGATATGTGGACTGTTTCCAACTTTTGGCTATCATAAATAGTGCTGCTGTGAACATCCATGTACAAGTTTTTGTTTGTACACCTGTGTTTGTCTGTTTCTTTTGAAACAGGGTCTCACTCTGTCACCCAGGCTGGAGTGCAGTGGTACAATTATAGCTCACCGCAGAACACCTATTTTTAATTATTTGGAGTATATACCTAAGAGTGGAACTGTTGTAAATATACTTTGAAATCTTTCTCTGCTATGGTCTCACACCAGATAAAGTTTACAAAGCAATTTTTCCATCTCATAAGAATATTAGAAATTTACAATTAGCAGCTAATCTAAAAACAAATTATAGTTATTAAGGCTGATGGAAACACTGTCTTATGAACGTCATTAGCTGTAGAAACTTTCTAATGTCCAGTGTAAATCAAGAAACCAGTTAGAGTCAACAATATGAAAAAATGCTCCAAATTTAAGAAATTTTGGAAGACTGGCTTTAAAAGCAATTACAAAAACACTTGCCAATTCAGTCAGTTCCTTTCATTGTGCTTCCAAATCTTGGAAGAAGCTGTTCATATTGACCACTTGGAAAGGCTTATGAAATACTGAGAGTAGGTAAATTTGAGAAAAAAGATAGCTGGCAACAGTTATTATCCATATTCTTGTAGGTTCTTTTGCCTTGAAGAATCCTAAAAATGGAAATATTTTGTTTGAACTTCTTAAGGTGCCTATAAATCGCAGCAACATATAAGTAAACTTTGAAGGCCAACTGAGCTCTTGGTGGTGGTGGTGGCGGCAGGGTGTGTGTGTGTGTGTGTGTGTGTGTGTGTGTGTGTGAAGTTGCCCATCCTGTCTCACCCCCATAATTCTAGGAAAGCCCGGCTTGGCCATCTGGCCCCATGAGTTGTGTGTCTACATCTTAAAACCCTGGAGATACCACAATGAAGTCATTTCCTGTGACATGAATCTCTTAGCCTTGCCCAACTGAATTATCTCCCACAGCATTTTAAGGATTCATGATAAAGAAAGGACAAAAGCATGGGCGACAAAAGATAAATTGCAATCTCACATGAGACTGCTGCATCAAGTGTGACATGTGGCATTTGCTTAGTGTTTAATAAGCACCAGTCCTCCACTCAAACACCCACTGGCTATGACTCTGGAGGGCAACTTATAGAGGTCTACCTAATGAACGCCCCTAGATAGGAAAGTAAAAGGATTAAAAAGGAAAAGAAAGAATTCAAGTCAACGGGAGAGCCAAATTGCTAACCAACCGGTTAATTTAACTATGTTTTATAGTTCTCTTCCAAGTTTTATAGTTAATATAATTAGCCAAACAACTAGCACCCCTCAGGATCCAATCTACCTTTTTCTGTCTGGGTTTGGTATGAATCATAAGCATACACAACCCTTCAGCACCCTGGCAGCCAAGAAGGCCTACATTCTACCTGCCTTAACAGGTGCATTCTCAAGTTTCAGCAGAGAACGCTGCCAACAACACAGGAAAGAATGCCCAGAACCGTTAGCCATCAGAGAAGTGCCAATCAAACCGCAATGGAATATGACTGCACTCCCACCAGGACGGTCACACCTAAAAAGATAATAACAACTGCTGGTGAGGGTGTGGAGAAATCGGAACCCTCGTAACTGCTGGTGGGAATGTAATATGGTACAGCTGCTTTGGAAAACAGTCTGGCAGCACCTCAAATTGTTAAACACAGAGTTACCATATGACCCAGAAATTCCACTTCTAAGTATACAGCCAAGAGAAAGAACTCCTATGTCCACACAAAAACTCTACGTGAATGTTCTTAGCAGCATTACTTGCAATTGCCCAAAAGTAAAAACAACCCAATTCCCATCAGCTGATGAATGGATAAATAAAATGTGATAAATCCACACAATGGAATATCAATAAAAATGAAAGAAATACTGATCATGCTGTGACACAGAGGAGCCTTGAAAGCGTTACGCTAAGTGAAGAAAGCCAGTCACAGAAAGACCACTAATTAGCCAGGTATGGTGATGCGCGCCTGTAGTCCCCGCTGCTCGGAGGCTGGGGCAGAATTCAGTAAGTGGAGATTGTGCCACTGCACTCCAGTCTGGGCAGCAGAGCGAGATTCCATCCCAAAACAAAAAAACAAAACCACAGATTGTGTCATTCCAGTTTCAAGAAATGCCCCAAATAGGCAAATCTATAGAAACAGAAAGTAAGTCTACAGCCATGCCACCCTCAACGTGCCCGATCTTGTCTGATCTCAGAAGCTAAGCGGGGTCGGGCCTGGTTAGTACTTGGATGGGAGACTACCTGCGAATACAAGGTGCTGAAGGCTTATTTAAAAAAAAAAAAAAAAAAAAAAAATAAAAAGAAAGTAAATTTTTGGTTGCCAGAGCCTAGAGGGAGGAGAAAATGGGGGCTGACAACTAACAAGAATAGAGTTTCTTTTGGGGGCGATTAAGATTTCCTGGAGTTAAATATTAGTGATAGCCAAACAACTCTGTGAATATGTTAAAAGCTTTAAATGGGTAAACTGCTGTTTATAGATTATAAATATACATCACATATATATCCATGATGACACAGAAGTGAAAGGCTTGCTCAAGTTCACAAGCCCAGAGACATATGTTTATAATACATGTCATATATATTTATAATACATAAATGTAAAAGAGTATGAACGTGAATACCCCTGCTGGCCTCGGTCAGGTCAGTGGTCACACTTACCATTCGCAGGTTTTGAGTCGTTCTCGTCTCAACTGCTCTGAGAAGCTCTCTAAATCTTCCGACTCCTCTTGTCAAGTTCCTGCGTGCACACAGAATTTGATGGTTAGCATCCGGCATGTATTAACATTAAATATTGTATATGCATGTTTCAATGCATTTTGTCTGCATAAAAGCTGTTGGCTAGATTTTAAGCAAATGATTACTCTGCACATCTTTAGCCGTCTTTGGTTAAATGAAAAATTTGACCTACGATTGATGGCCTTTTTTCTGTTCTAACCCCTAGCACATTTTCTCTGAAAAATAAAAAAACTGAAGATCAGTTGAGGCCAACAAATTAAAAAGCAAGATCCCTTAGAAGAGTCTGTGTTCAAACTCTCCATGGCTCTGTAGAGTGGGAATGAATTGTAGATTTTCGTTTAAAAGGTGGGAGACAACACTGGGCAAAAGGGCCTGGGAATATGAGCAAGCCACTGTGCGCAACGTGGGCAAAGAGAGGAACACGAAGATGAAAGGTACAACAGAACAGGAACTCTACCAAGCAATCACTCTGCATCTTTGAGAACATAAATTATCAAAACCCAGGAAATGCCTCAAACCAACCCTCTCCAAACCCCAAACTGACAAAAAGAAGCAAAGGGTCAGAGGCCCCTTCTGAGAGTGAGTGTGTGACAGCTGGAACCCAAGCTTCCTGAGTGTGAGCAGAGCCCATCTCATCTCACTGCCACTCACACCCCACAGGGACACATTTGGTGGCACATCTCATTAAGGGACAAATAATTCTTCTGTAACATCCTGGTCAATATTTTGAAGCCCCACTTGTCCTCTCCGAAAGCTGCATCCAGCCTGTTCAGCTGGGAACGCCCCCCAGCCAGTCCCTCTACCTTAAGTGCTGCCACCACCTATGACATAACTAGGGGATATTTATAACCTGCTCATCAGAACATATCTCGTCTTTCCAAAAGGCCACAGCGCGGGTCAGCCAGTGCAAACGTGTCAGCTAGCCTCTGCAGGCTGTGGCAGATGCTCAAGGTATTTGGCTCTCTTCTTGGATGACATTCTGAATCACGCGAAGGTATTCAATCAAGCCGAATGTGGGTTCTGTAAGTTGCAGGCCCTCGTGAGGGCTATTAATTCACATCTTATACCTGCATGACATCCCAGGGCTCTCATTCACAAGAATGGCCCCAGAACTGTAAGATTCTGGCTTATTGGCATAGGCACATAAATACTCCCATAGTCCTCTCACCCACACATATCAGATGATATCAGATCAGAAGCTTGATGGTGGCATAAAATGAAAAGCTGCGCTCCGGACGCCAAGCAGCACTAAAGGAAACCTAACAGAGACGTGAATACACCTGGGACATGCAATCTACTCTGCTTTTTCCTTCATTTGTTTTTATGGGATCCATGTTCACAGGCAACAAAGTACATTTGCTTTGGACTGAAGCTCAGTTCTCTTAAGTAACATGGAGGGAAGGAAACAGCTACAGTAAACAAGGGATGGAAATGGATATGGTAGTCTAACTTTGTCCCAGAATCACGGGTTAAACTCCTACTAGGTACAGAAGGAACGGTACTTGGAATTGTATGAAATAAGATGTGACTGAGGCAACAAAACTGGAGACCCTGGTTGTAGGGGCTGATTTACCAGGTAGAAATCAGGCCTCGAATAAGCAGTATCAAACCTAAATATTATAACCCAGGGACGCCTACAAATAGGAAGTGCCATTCAGAATGTTTCCAGTGTCCTAGGAAACAGAATCAGCTGCTTAGACAGTTACAGAGGCACAGAATTTTCCAGCTATAAATGATCCAACAGAATCTGGTCCATTATAATACAGAAGTAAAGGGCTCGCTCAAGGGAGAGTGAGCTGGGAGCTTCTGACCATTCTCTGCTACCTTCCTGAGTACACAGAAGCTCTAAAACAGAAGTGTAACTCCAGAGAAAGGAACAAAATACGAATCCAAGAGTTCAGGTCTACGTTTTGCATCATTAATATGCAAATTACTTCATGTATTTATAACATAAATTCTGTGTGCCCCAGTGATGGCAGCTAATGAGATACTCCCACTCATGACTGGTCCAAAACTGGAAAGAAAATCCACTGGTCCAGGTGAAGAAGTCCAGTGAATGCAGGTAAAAAGAGATCAATGACGGACAGAGAAATTCAATTCCCTGTTAAGGTGCAAGAGGGTTTCTGCCGCGCAGGACCGAGGCCCTCTGGTGGAGGAACAGAGGAAGTCTCCGGCCCTGAAGGAGGCCAGGCTGGATGAGGCAATACAGCCACTGGTGCGTATTCCCAATTAAGCCTTCGAAGCAAATACAAGTTTTTCTCAAACTGTTTTTAGTTTATTCCTGGAGAGAGTTTAGGATTCAGAAGCAAATTCTTCCTCAAGCTGGGAAGAATCCTGCTTGTAAGCAAAGAAGCCACAGTAACCACAGAGCGGAGAAAGCTGAAGCTATAGCCCACTGCAATGAATGTGGCACCCAGAAGGGTCCCCGCCCCACCACACATCAATCCAGCAGCAGAAAGAGGTGAAACAGGCACATCTTAAAGTGCCCAGAGGCAAAACACAATTCTCAGGAAATCCTATGTCATCCAAACATGTTTAAATCACATAATTTTATTGAACTAATCACTTCCACTGTTGCCATGAGAGCAGAAAAAGAAAAACGTTAAAGCACATGGATAATCAGAACAAAAGAAGGAAGTTAACTTGCAAGAATTCCATTCCAAATGCTGTGAGATAACCCAGTTTGAGAGCAGCAAACAAAACCCACATGATTGCCTTTATATCTCCAAACTGTTCGTTTATTCTTAAAATGTTGAGATCAATTAAAAAATCTAGAAGGAACTGTTGCCACCTCAAAATGAAGATAAGAGAGCCAAGGAATCTCCCAATCTCCCTGTTTTTGAGGGTTTCCACAGACCGTTGACATTAGGTCATTTATTCCATGTCAACACCCTTGCCTGAGACAGTGCAATGATGTCAGAATTCATTATGGTAAACTATTCTCAAAACAAATGTTCCTGCCAGCATTCGCGCAGCAGGCACTCTGGCAAGCTGTCAGAACTTGGGGTTCATCTCCTGCACTTTGCTGCACAAGCTTCCTGAGCTGGGTGCATTTCCTTCCACGTGGAATGGTTCCCAACAGCTCGGCTGGGACCAAGGAGGAAAGGGCCTGCGGGTCCCCAGAACACCAGCTGCTCGTTCCACCTGACAGGCAGGCAAAGCTCTGCTTTTGCTCACCAATACGGTCCTCAGCCCATGATGGAGAGCTCAGGCCACGGTCCCACAGCCTTGCTGTCATTCAAATCCTTGCTCTCCTGTTGGCAGGAAAGCCTACCACTTTTCATGGGGACAGAGTCTCCTCTTCCCTTGACCTACTTCCATCCTTTCTTCTATCTTTTGCATCTGGTTTCATCCTCCTCCTGCTGAACCTCCTTCCAGGGCTTGTCCGCTGACTAGCCAGCACTCGACCCTCCCTCTTGACCCTCTATCCTGGCAACAGGCTCCCATTCCCCTGTGGGCCCTGTGGCAGCAGCTCTCCAGGCTGGTCTCTGAAATGGACATTCTAACGTACGAGCTTATCGCGCCTGGTTTGTTCCTGTTCTACGACTCTGAACCACATTCTCAGCTCTTTAATATTGCCATCTGTCCCTCTGTAATCAAACCAAGGGGGAAATGTAAATGGGAAGAAAGCCAGAGTGCCAAAATCAAAATGGAAAACCATGTCTGGGAAAAACTTGGGGGCTCGAGAATCGTTTCAGCTTGTGATGGGTGGTTACTTCAATAACGAGCTCAAACGTTTGCTGTTGTTGTTGTGGTTGTGGTTGTTGTTGTTTCTTCTCCTTTTATTTCCTGGGACTGGGGTGGGAAAAGACAATTCTTTCCTTTCACTGGTCCTTCCAAATTATCTTCAGACCTCAAAATCTGACCCGGGCACCACTACACTGAAATTCAATATCATGTCATTGTCATGCAGACACGAAGTAGTGGTATGAATAAAAGACTTTTTCTACTGGATGTCAAATTCCTGCGCAATGGGGAAAAGGTAGCCCTGTTAGAGTCTATTCAATACTTTTTTCTCCTCTGTGGCTGAGAATTTTATAACTAAAGATCAAACACAATGTCAACCCAGTAGATCTCAAAGAGCAAAGAAATCGTCTGCCTTTCTCCATGTTTTCTTCTCACCAACTAGCACTCCTGAAACGCTGAAGCAGTATGTTACTTCAACAATTACTGAGCAATGTTTCACAGCAGGGGCCAGGTTGGCCCCTGGGGACACACTGCTGAGCAGGGGACACCATCCCAGCCTCAGGGAGTTTAGATGGTTTCACATCGCCCACCAGAATGTAAGTGCCTCCAAGACAGAGACCTTGGCTTTATTCGCCGACATAACCCAAGCCTCTGAAACAGAGCCTGGCATACAGGAAACACCCAATTAATATTTGGTGAATGAAAAAGGACCATCGTGAGCTGAATGAACCAAGACTACAAAGGGATACATTCCCTCCTGTTTCTCATCTCCTCTCACTGAGCACAGTCCAGCGTGCAGCAAGGCACTGTACTCTCTTAACTCGAATGGCCTTGTATGCCCTCAGGGGTTTCCTTGCAGCGTGGAGACCTGGGAGAGAAGTGACAGCTTGGGCCTAACAACTTCTAGAGAGCTATGTGGATAAGGGAAACGTTCCTGCCTTTGTGCCTTCACACATGCTTCTCTGTCTTCAGGGTTAAGACCCAAGGCCGAGGCCAACCTAGATAACACTTCCCACATTTCCACACTGATTTTCATTGGAGTTTCTATCTGTTCACCAACCAAACTGCAATCATTGTGAGACAAAGGCCCCCCATCCCCCCCACTCCTTGTTTCAACTGCCTCACAGGGCCAGCCAAGTACCTGTGACATTTAATAAGCTGGGCACCCCCAAAAGAAAGAAAAGAATGAGGACAATCTTATGTTCCCAGACCCCCGTCCCCATCTCCTTGCTGAAAAGAGTTATCTTAGTTACAAAGGAGACAACTAGAGCAGGGACTTGGTGTACTATGAGATAGAGCTGTGATCATACACAC